GTTATTTACCTCTACAGCTATGCTTCCCAGGACAGGGCCTGCAGTGCATCAGGTGTCCTGATAGGGTGTGATTTCAGAGTATTCACAAAGCCCTTCTGAAATGTTGCACACACTTAAGTCAGTTCTGGACACATGGGGCCAGGCTATGTGAGAGGGTTTCATAAGCCCTAAGCCTTTGGGGCTAGACTGGAAACATTATAAATAAGAAACGTGGTTGGGAGGTAGGGGCAGCTGGTGATGCAGACTGCAGCTAAGTGTACAGCACATGTCTTGCCCAAGGGACCAGTCACTTCTCAGCTCCTCCAACTGCTGCCCTACGTGGGCAAAGGACCCATTGGCTATCTTCCAACTTTCTCAGAGGCACCATAAGTCCAGAACCACAGATCTTTAGGGCAGATATGAAGTACATGCCCCTTGTACTGTGACAGGTGGGCATGGTTGACTCTCCAGACCGGGTTCTGTAGTAGGCTAACACAATGAGAAGGAAAAGAAGACTGAAGGATGATTATTCAGGGGTAGCTCAGGGCTCCACCTGTTTCTAGAAAGATAAGAATTTCAGAACTTGTCTCATTCCTACTTTTAGAGCAGTAACTTAAAGAGGGGGTGATTATGCTCCTCAGAGACACCCAGCAATATCTTGAGACATCTGTGACTGTCAGAAGAACTTGGAAGTCTTCGGGGGAGCATCTGGAAGGTAGAGTTCAGGGATGCTGCCAAAGATCCTATAGTGAGTGCATAGGGCAGCCTCCCATGGCAAAGAACGATCAGACCCCAAATGTCAATAACACCAAGGTTGAACAACTGTGGATTAGAACAGTGGTTTCCAAGCTGGGTTACAAGTCTAAAATACTGGGGAGAGCTTGAAAAAAGTACTGATGCTTATTGTCTTATTCCAATACAAGGAACACAGAATCTCTGAGCAGAGCCTCCCATTTTAAAAGCTCCCATAAGAATCTAACACGTAGCCAGAACTGACACCTGCAATATAGAATGGTGAGTCCCCTGTGTTCTGGCAGAGTGGAGTTATCCTCCTCCCTGCACAGGACCTAGTTGGCACTTTGCTAAAACAAGCACTCAATAAATATTTGTTGCCTGGCTGGGGGATGGATTAGTCATCTATCATTAGTACCCTACAAACTGCTGTGCTGGACTCCTATTGACTTTCCACATTCTATTGGTGGCTGATATAAGCTTTTTTTTTTTTAAGTCAATTATTCAGTACATCAAAAGGATACAACTCCCAGCAGTCAGTCAGCAGTGAACTAACACGCTTTCTGTTGGAATAATTACTTCTGAAAGTGAAAGGTATGAAAACAATCTGGACAATACATTCATGCCAAAGGAAGCTTGCAAAATTAACTTGCAATCTTTTTGTCACCCCTCCTGGTCATATGCAATGAGCAGAATTAGAAATCGTATATTAAATGTGGTCCTGGAAACTTTCATTGCTATTACTCGAGAAGATATGAAAGAAGAAAATTAAAACCAACAACAACAACAACAAAAAAAAATCTTAACCAAGGTAGGAAGGGAAAACTAATATAAAGAAAATGCTAATGCTGACCAGATTTCCCGACAATCAGAATTATTTGATTGACTTATTCACATCTAATCTAGTTATGGGAAATTCTTAACAAGTCTTGATGGAAGCTATAAGGTGGGAAGAAATGAAAAAGGATAAAGCTATTAGTCTGACACTGGTACCATCCAATCCACCTTCCTTTGGGTTGTGTACAGTGTTGTCACCTGTCACCTCTCTCAGGTCAGCATGGGGCTCCAGCTGGACAGTTAGGAAGTCTGAGACCTCGGTCCAGAGCACTGCTGGTACTAGGAATGCAAGGGTCCACAACAGAGTCCCCATTCTTGGAGCTTATTGAGGGATACTTTGCAGCAAATCAGCCTGTAAGACAGGTGGGGTAGGAGCTTTGCAAGGTGAGAACAGGTATAGGGACAGTCAGCAGCAAGAGCACCAACACAGACTTGGAAAAGATGATGAGGTAGGAGGTGTCTTGGCAGAGGGCAAGCCCCAGTGAATAAAACAGAGCCCAGACAGGGAGAATTCCTGTGGGTGTTAGGAATAGCACATGCAAAGATCCTGGGGGAAAGGGAGAGCGTGGTGTGTGTGGGGGGCTTGAAGCAGTTCCACTTAGCAAGTACTTCTTTAAAAGGCAGAAGGGAGGTTAAGCCTGAAAGAGTAGCCAGGGCCAGGTGGAGGCTGACTGCCCTGATTGTAGACAGCATGTATGAAGAGGTTGTTTTAAGGGAGAAAAAAGAAGAGGATCCTAAAAGCGGGGAGGTCCCAGAATGCAGAGAAAGACACCAGGTGTGGCATGGAGAGAACTGTGTTCTACCACTTTCTAGTGTGTGACCTTGGTGGGTGACTGGCCTCATATATAGGAAGAAACGAAAAAAGGAGTCAGACTTCCTCAGGTGGGAATGAATGAAATCACATAGACAGGATGGAGGGCTGGGGACAAGGACTGATGAAATCTAGGGGAGTGTGGCTGGGTCCACCCCCGGAAAAGTGGAGACCTCCTGGGGGACAGTGAGAGAACCAATGTGGAAAGGGCCAAGGGGTATGGGAGACCAGGAAGCCTTTCTCTTGCAGAGGAGTCTCCTTAAGAGCTCAGAAACCAAGAGAGAAAAAGGAGGGGAGGGACGGGGAGAAGATGGGAGCTAATGTACCAGGAATATAATCTACCACTTTTGGCATTTTTTCAAAATACTGCAGCTGAGATTTAAAAGGTTCAAATTGCTTTTTGCTCATTTTTGGATGTCATCCTGAGATTCCTTTGACTCTGGGCCAAGCTTCCATGGGCCATGAGTGACACATGAAAGGCCCTGTTACCTGGCCTGGAACAGTCTGCCGATGAAGCCAGCCACTATGGAAAGTTTTATGATTGTGATTATTTTTAAGGCAAGACTATGGCAAGGGCCCCTTTCCAGGAGAAGCATGGCTCTGTGTCCCCCAAATCCCTCATCCACCCGTTGGAAGCCAAGGCATGTAGAGATGTGTCTCCATGAGGGGGGAAGGGTGCCCTGACTGCCACCCCAGCCCGGGGACCTGGTGTTTTCCTCACCTTGCAATTGCCTAGAAACCAGCTCCCTGCCTTGCACAGCAGACAGTGGGAGGCCTCCAAAACCGTGAATGAAAGGCAAGTGTCTGGGGAATAAATGACATGTCCAGAGGTGAGCAGAGGAGCCTGCCATCTCCTAATTGCATTCCACAGCTCTGCTGTTTCAGCAGCTGGAAGCAGCCATGGTCCCGGTGAGGCTTTTACTCAATAATCCTCTCGTCTATGCAAGATCAGGGCAAACACAACTTTTAAGACAATTTTTGGTGAGTGCGGTCCCTGAAATAAGGACTTGTTTGGTGTCAGGCTACACTGAGTCGATTTAATTCTTTAAAAAGGACAATAACTGATGCTGATTTATAATAGAACTCTTTGGATATTAAAATGTTAATGAAATTGTTGCTATGAAAAATAATAGCTTGTGTTTTTACTTTAACCATTCTCAAGGCCCTGATCCTTTTTTAATACTTATTTCCAGTCATATAAAGAAAATGCTTTGTCATCTAATTTAAAAATCAGTTCCTCCCCCGACCCCCGCAGCCCCCACCCCATGGTGATTTATTTTCTCTATAGAAAATGTTAATAGCTGGCCAGGAATCTAAATGTTAAAAGCAAGGAAGAAACGGAATCTTTGAAAATGAAAATAAATGATCCATTTTTCTTCTTTTGGAGAGATTGCTGCTCTTGGAAGACACAGGATGTGGGAGGGGGAGGGAAGGAGTGATTTCAGCTCCGAGTTCTGCAAAAGCGGCCACTTGGCCTTCGTGTTTTCCTTACCACCTGTGCATTGCATAGGCATTTCCAATGCACACCTGGGTGATGATGGCCCTTCTCAAGGAACCTAAAGATCAGAGACAATGGCACTTCTAGTATATCACTGCAGAAGAGCCTCCAGGAAAGAACAGGTGCCACAAGATGAGAACTCCAAAGAGAAAAGGGATTTGAATAGGGTATTGAGGGGCATGTAGGAGTTGTCCAACTAGAGGAGAAGTACAAAAAATGTTGTATGGAGAAAGCTGAGTATCACAAACAGAAGGGAAGTGCAGAATCCCTTGGGGGAGACACTTAAGAACCAGGCTCAGAGCCCAGCCCTGACAGAAGAGATCACTTTGAAAACTCATCTGCAGGCTGAGAAAAATCCTTCCAGCCACAGTGTATAAGACAGAGCAGAGGAGGCCATCCTGGGAGTCCACATGGTCCCAGCAAGACATGTGAAGGTCCTGCACCCGGACAGCGTGTGGGTACAGAAGGGCAGGTGCCAGAGACATCTGGAAGATGGGATCAACACAGCTGTGTGGCCAGTCACACAGCATATCGTGTTTTAGTGCAGTGAATGTGGAAGTCTTCAGGCTGACAGCCAACTGTGAGATTCGCACTGAGAAGGAAAAAGAAAAAAAAGAAAAACTGGTGGGAAGATAGAAAAGGTAGGAAACATCTAATTGGGAAGAAAAAGGCAAAAGAAACTTAAGTGGAGAAGAGGTTGAACTAAAGTCAGGTCTGGAAGAGGTTTTCCCTGACAAATGTTTTTTCGGGTCTTTCTTTGCATACTTCTGGTGATGGAGAGCTCACTACATCTGCAGACAGCCTATTTCACTGACTCCCTTTGCCAGGGCCGCAAGCCACAGTCTTTTCTTCTGGCTTTGAAATGCACGGCTTGCTTTGAAGTTTTACTCTCAGGTGCTCCGTGAAGCTTCTTGGAAACCCACTTGAGTTAGCAAGAAGGTCTGAGAGCTGGTTTCTCCTCTCATCCTTCTGATGGAGGATCCTTCACTGCAGCAGGGCAGAGGCTCAGAAAAAGCCACAGTAAAGGAGAACAGCATATGTGGAACACCTGGAGTTGCTGCTCCCATCCCTGATCTCAGATAGGAAGCTCCTCTGGCTCTCTGAGCCCCTGCCCTCTCCCCTCCATCAGGAGCTCTCCCTTACCGTGCTGTTGCAGCCCGCAAAGCAGGCCGACAGGTAGGTGATGCCGTCTGCCCCACACACTGGAGTGAAGGAGTCGGTTTGGCATTCGCAGTTCTTATTGCAGGGTGAATAGGGGTCCAGGGCAGAGCCACGAGCTGAGCTGCAAGAGAGAGGACAAATGGCACCCATTCACAACAAGTCGATTTGTGACAGGGTCTGCCCACTGCTGTGTGAGTCACTCTTGCTTATGGAAGTTCCCCCTGGCATCTGCATCCTCTTCCTCTTCCCATCTAGCCCTTCTTGTCCTGCAAGGACCAGCCCAGAACCACTGTTGAAAGCTACACAGGGTGCAGGATGGGCATCTGGCTGGGTGGCAGCAGAGTCCAGCTCCAGCTCCTCTCAGGAAGCCAGGAGGAGAAAATCATTCCCATCACATGTGTCCATGGGCTGGTGGCAGCTGGGGCTCAGCTCAGGGCTACACTGTCCACAATACCTCTCCTGATTACAGCAGCCTTAGCTCACCCCCTTCCCAGAACAATAATGATGTCTGCACAGCAAGACATTTAACTTCTTTTAGCCCTTTGGGTTGGTCCTCATCTCTGTTTTGTTCCTCCCCAGCAGAAAGGAAGTCTCCACCAATACTGCTACAACTAGACTGGCTTCAAAAATTATTGTCTGTCTGCTGGACAGAATATCCCAGGGAAAATAACACTAGGATATTTTAATTTTCCTTTGTTTCATTAATGGCACAGTTATCCAGAGTAAGTACTCTGAAGAAAGAGAATAAAGGGAGAGCGGGTTGCGTCTTTTCAGCCCCTTAAGAGAGGAAGTGTCTTTTCTTCAGCCCCATTACTTTCAGTTCTGTCCCGAGGCTCAGAGCACATCAGAACACTGAAGATGATGGTGGTGCTATTTGAGTTTTTGTGTCATGCTCTGCTGAAGGTGTCCCATGTATGATTTCACTTATTCTCAGTGTAACCCCCACAGGCTTTAGAGAGAAGGAAACTGAGGCACAGCTAGGTTAAGTCATTTGATGAAATGTACATAAATGGGAAAGGAGGAGGGATTAGGACTGAAGCAGTGTGACCACAAGTTTTCACTTTTTTTTTTTTTTTTAAACACAAGGATAATGTCATTAGAATAAGACCTGGAGCTTGTAATCACCGAAAATCTACTTGCACATTGAGCTATCCACAGAAAGGGCTGTTACTCATAGCAAGTGCAAACCAGAAAGTACATTTTTGTACAGGAAGGAGCTGGGGGCTGCAGAGGGGTTGGAAAAGGCCACCTGGTGGTGATGGCAAAGGGGCGGAGGGGAAGCATGGTGCCTAGACTCTGCAATTATCTACGGCTAGCTACCTACCTCTGCTCTGTCCTCCCATTTCTCTTCCTCACCCTTTTGGGATTCAAGATAAACCCTGATCTACTGCATCTTCTGGTTTAACTACAGGAAAGGGCCTGGTGGCTTTCCTGGGAGAGGAGTCTGGCTGTGGAGAGAAAGGCACCAAGACCTGTCGGCCAGCCATGCTGCAGCATCAGTGCTCTAGGCTGGGGCCCCAAGACAGCCTCAGAGCCCCATGTAGGAAGGGGACAGATGTTGATACCAAATATTTAAGTAAGAACTGTTCATCCTTCCCTCAAAGGGTGATCCTGATGGGATTCTGGTCCATAGCCAGGGATAATAACTAGACTATAAGGAAAGTGGCCCCATAAGAACTAGATAACTTCCTGCCCATTCTCATTCTCTCTCTCTTTCCTGCCTCTCTCTGATATTTATAAATACCTACCAGGGGCCAGGCCCTGTAATTACTATAATTACAGCCTAATGATAGCTCCTGATAGTTTAAGGAATTATTGAAATCAATTCTATCTTTCATTTTCAGTTCAATTTTGAAATAAAATGTATTTTATATTTTCTATCTTCACATTCTTAAAAGTCAAATGCCAGAAATAATTGAGTATTCTGTAGAGTGAATGACTGTTTTTCTCCCTGGGGCTCTCCTGGCTATTGGTGGAACAGTCTGCCCTCTTAACCCAGAGGGACATAGTGATCCTTTATCTGGGAAGTAAGATGCAGAGGTGTCCTTATTTCTCTGCTCATGGTCACTAGGGACCAAGCTGACTCCATCGAATTATGGTGGAAAGAGAGCCCTGGGTCTGCAGCAGGCAGGGTGGAACCAACATTTCTTATACTCACTTGTTTCCATAGGGAACAGTAACCCCAGCCACAGGGCCCGTGTCACAGCCCAGGAAGAGGAAGGAGACATAGCAAGCCGTGGACACCAGGTTGACAAGCATGGCCATCCGAATAGCTCCCAGGGCGGACAGGCTGAGCTTCTTCACCAGGAGACCACCCAGGAAGATTCCCAGACAGGCGCACGGAATTGCAGTCATCCCTGCAAGGAACACAGAGTGGCGGGGACCATGATGAACTGGGAAGGAGGGGCCAGTCCATACAGAGGATGAACAGCAGGTCCAAGGCTGAGCCCAGCAAATCATCTGTGACCAGACTGTTTTGTCGCTGCCTTGGTAGTATCCCAAATCTTTATGAAGGGGCACATTTCTACCCAGAGAGCTCATGGAAAATAGACGGAGATGGACATGGAAAACTCAGTTATCATGAATCTGTAAGTACGCGTCATGCAAAGTGGGCACCATCATGGGAATCACACGCTAGCTACTATGGGGACGACCAAGAGACAAGTCAGACAGATTGGGGAACACCGATGTGCATTTCAACACAATAAATACTAAGGAGCAGTGATGCTCTCTCTGTGTGTTGATGTGCAAAGTGGATTTAGGATGATTAGGAGATCTTCTCTTCCTCTTCGAATCAGGTGATGAGGGAGGGCTGCATGAGGGTGCAGAGGCTTTATGACCCAAAGGTCACAGAACTCATCAGTCTGCAGAGACAGTCTTTTAACCAGCTCTGCAACTCTTTAGAACGTGGCATCAATCAAATCAATATGTCTTGCAGCTCTTGGTGAGTAATTGGTGAATATTTTTTTTTTTCCTTTCCTCTCTCTTATACACAAAGTTATCTGCAAAGGCACAGGACCTAAGCCTGTTTTTTTCTGATTCTCAGGGATCCATGGAATTTTAGGAGGACCAAAGGATCCAGAGTTCCAATCTCCTGTTTGGTTCTGCTCTGTTCTGATTCATTTCATCTACAGTTCAGCTTTAAATTACTATGTGTCATTTATCCACTGCGTAGATTATGCACGGCCAATTTTCCAGTTCAAGCTGCCTCCTCCTTGCCAATCAACAGACCTCTAGGTCAATCGACTACATCAACCAGCTGGTATGTGCTAAGGGAATGCAAATTAATTTTAATATTAGGGTAAGAAAATATAATCAGAGAGGCTTAGCTCGGCAAGAAAATAGCACAAGCCATACTTAAAACAAACATATATCTCTCCGTCATCTGCTGCTTTTGGCATCTCAGTGCTTGGTGTCCCTCCCTTAATATAGAAATGATCTTCCTGAGGTGGTCTGGTGTGCCTCTATCCCAGTCCCAATCACGCCCACTCTCCCTCCATTCTCTCCCTGGAAAGAGCTGAAGAGCTCAGGTCTCCCAGTCTTTGTACTTGCATTTCCCCCTCCTTGGACACTCTTGTCAGTGTCTTTCCTCAGCTGGACCTGTCCTCTTCAGAACAGCTTGCTTAGATCACCTTCTCTAGACTGGGCCCTGCTCCTGACCATGGGATACTTTATTTCCACCCAATTCTATTTACAGTTTTTATCCTTCTCTCTGCTGTCTAAAGTTGTTTCATATATTTTTGGTTTTCTTATTTCTTCTTATCTATTAGAATTAGGTCTTTGGGGGCTGGGGTTGTAGCTCAGTGGTAGAGCACTTGCCTGGCACATGCGAGGCCCTGGGTTCAATCCTCAGCACCACATAAAACTAAGTAAATAAAATAAAGGTCCAACTACACCTAAAGAATAAATTTTTTTTTAAAAAAAGAATTAGATCTTTTCGGAGGTCTAGAACATTTTTCATTCTGCCCAGTACCACCTGGATCCCCAGTGCCTTAACACAGTGCCCCACAAGGATGGACACTCAAGTATCATTGTCAGAATGCGTGAGTTAGTAAGAAGCTTGGATCTATGTGAGGAGCATCAGTGACAATGTGCCCACGCCCAGAGAGTGGCCTAGGTTTTGTCTCATTTCTCTAGCAGAGACCATGGGGGTGTCACCTGGTGATGATGGTAACCATGGCAACCTGCTTCCAGCACCTTTTCTCCAAGCCATCATCAGCCTCCCCTCTCCCTCCCTGATGCGTGCGCATGCCTTTAACACTCCAGGCAGCTAGCAGAACTTCCCCACCAAAACTCCATCCTCATTACGTTAACTTATGCAGATTAAGCCCTTTTAATCTTCACTCATAAATCAATGCCATCAGTCCCTCAATCATACATGCTTCTCTTCTCTGAACTCTGCCCCTCCTTGAGGATGACTTTGTGGGTGGCCAAGAGCCCTGCCTTGAATACGCTGGGATAAATGCATGGGCCCCATCTTCCAGGTTTGCAGGAGCCGCCTATAGAACATTTCCCTAAATGAGCCTCCCTAAGTGCCTCCTGCCAGCTCCTCCTGCAGCTGGCCCTCCTGGCAATGCCAGGGCTGGAGTGATGCCAGGGGCAGGGTACAGGGAGAGGGCCTGTGTGCTGGCTGCCTGATTGCTGGGTGCAGGAGAAGTGCCCCCGCAAAAAAATGCTCTAACCGGCAGAATCACTGGGAGACAAACAGGCGCAAGGAGGTGAAATTGTTTTTTTGACCTTCTGCCCTGAAGTCTATCGATTCGTTTGTCGATAGAAAACTTAGGCATCTGTTCTAAAAGAGGATACATTCCCAAAGTCGAAGCAACTGTGCAATGTAATCAAAACACAAGGAATAGCAGCAAAGAAATCAGTAGATAGGAGATAAACTCTTTGGGTGCTGGAGGGCTAAACCTGAGAGATCTTGGAGATAATAAAGGAGGTATAACTTCAATTATAAAGAGGTATATTTTACCTTCTCTCTGTCAGGCAGGTATTAAAAGGCTGACTGCATTTTGCTAAAATTAAAGTGGAAGCAAAACTTAGGAAACAGTGCGTGGTAGAGTTATCAGTAAAAATGAAGAAAAATAAGGTTGTGTTCCTTTAGCAGATTCCTGGCAGATGAGGGTGATCCAGCCACATCACTGTGGTCTATTTTATTTTTTTAATCGAGACATGTTATGTCCTGTGGATTGCACAAAGCTTATCAGCAGCCTGATGAACTTCTGTACCTGAGACCCTCTATAACCACCCCTCAGATCAAACTGAGGATATTTCTAGCAGCCTTTCCTAGTTAGTTTCCTGCAAGGGTCACCATTATTTTGGCTTCTCTCGACTTAATTAACTATTCCTCTTTTTAATTCCTATAAATATGTTCTCCTTTTGTGTCTGACGTCTTTCAACTCCGAGTTTCATCTCCATGGATGCCTATATCAAACGTCTTTCTTTCAAGTGCTGTGTAACAGTCCACTGGATGAACAGTCTATAATTTATTTACCCATTCTGCTGTTGACAGACATTTGGGCTGTTTCCAGTTCAGAGTTATTATGCATAAAGCTGCTCGAACATTGTTCTGTATGCATATATAAATGAGTGGACCTAAACACTCATTTCTGCTGGACTGAAGCCCAGGAACAAAACGGATGGATCACTGTGCAGGCATATGTTTAGCTTTAATAGGTATCGCCAGAAAGATTTCCAAAGTGGCAGTGCCACCTTGCACTCACACCTGCAGGACAAGAGAATTCCAGTTGCTCTGCATCCTCACCAACACTTGGCACCATCAGTCTGCTGGGTGTGTCAAATCATCTCCTTATGGTTCTAATATGCATTTCCCTTATAACTCACGATGGTTTGCACCTTTGCATGTTTATGGCAATTTCAGGAAGTGACAGGAGATTTTAAGGGAGAAGATGAGAGGACTTTACCTTTCCTTTCCTCTTAACAGATGTTGACTCCTACTTAATAGAGACAATAAAAGCCATGGGGCTACAGTCCCCTCCAATGCTTGGCTGTACTGATACATTCTCAGTAACCTCAGTCACATGTCCTTCTTCTGCCCTTGCAGGGGAATACAAGGGCTCTTGTCAAGGGATGTCTACCCAGTTTCCTTTTCTCTTCTGCAAGAGCCCTGCTGCAGTTTCTCCTGTCCTAGCCACACCCACTCTGCTCTCTACTCTAATACCCTGAATCCCCTCTCCTGGGCTGCTCTCCACCCCACAGGATGGGCTCCACCTTTGCCACATCATGGACACAGCTCTGCCACAGGCTATGAGATGTCCTTATTGTTAAAGCCCACCCACAGAGACATTTATTTGGGCTCCATCTTGCTTCTTTACTGAAATCATTTCTCCCTCAACTCCCATGATCCACAAGAAATCCCTCTGGATTTCTTTTGGATGCTGTCCCTTAAACTTCTCTACAGATTCTTCAGGTTGGGGTTTTACCATTTCTTTTGCAGTTCTCCATGTTTCCCCTATATAAATCCAACTCTCATGTCCTCAACTGCCATCCACACTAAATTTTACTATGTAATACATACTACTGTATTGCTATAATTCTCTGTTACTAAACCAGATCCCTTTCTTGAGCCCCCAACCAAATATAGAACCTCCACTTAGACATACCTCGATGTCTCATACCCAGCGTCTCCAAGACCAAATATGTAATGCTCCCCACAGATCTGATTCTTCCCTGCTGTTTCCAGTCTTCACAAATGATGCCAAGGACTGTCCACATCACAAATGCATGGTTGACTCTTCCCTCACCCTCATCTTCTGTGTCTCTGTTCCATCCAATACTAATTGACATCTAAGCTAATCAATTCAACTACTGAAGCTTCCTGGTCATTTGAAGTAGGAAAGAATAAATTGCCACAAAATGAAAATCAAGCTAAGACATGCTGTGGGATCATATTTCTCACCCTGCATAAGTAATACTGCATCTTACAAAGGCAAGTTGGTTTTCTTAGTAACCCAACTCCAACCAACTGGGAGTCAATGCCTGGAGTTTGCCCTGAGAGGATGATAAAGCTGTCTGATTTTGGGAAGAAGTGCTATGATCCGTTAGTTATGTCTGCCATGGGTCTGGCATGGGTACAGGCATGCCTTCTAAGCTCTCTTTTTTGTTAACTGTGGGTTTCATGCTGCCAAGAATACTCTTGTTCTCTATGACTCTGATGAAAACCTGCTCACCTTTCAAGATTCACCTTTCTTCCTTCATCAGATCTTCCTCATATTTTCCTAGTTCATACCAATCTATCCGCTTCTTGGCCTCTTGCAATGATTCCTATGTACATTTATATTTTTGTCCTTCATTATTAGGTATCTTAGTAATTGCATCTGGAAGGTAAATATTATACTGAAAACGAAACTGGAAGTTCCTTGTGTGCTGATACAACATGCATACTGGGCTGCTATAGGCCTAGCCCAGTGCTGGGCTCTTCATGGAGTCTCAGTAAATTCTTGGAGCATTATGTACAGGACTGGAGGAGATGGGGCTGGGAATACACTCACCAAGCAGCTGGTTGGCAGAAGAAGTGGTGAGGTTAAACTGCTGCTCCAGGTACTTCCCCAGGAAGGCAGCAAAACCAGCCACCACCGCGATCTCCATGCAGGCAGCCAGGATGATGCAGGTGAACACAGGGTTAGAGAGCAGGTGCTTGGTGACCTTAGGGATCACTGCAGGGAGTGAGAGAAAGCAGAAGGTCAAGGTCACACATACAGAGCTCATATCTCAGAGCTTCCTGCTCCACAGGCTCCTTCTTGACCATCTCTATAATAGTATCAGGTGGTACCTGGTTGCTCAGGTCAAAACCTGTATCTTATAGGCCATCCATAATTAGAAGACTCTCACTTCAAATCATACCCTGATATTCTGCCAATTAAATATCTTCTACCAAAGTAGTAGACTACACTATGCCTCTTCTTATAGTTCACTGTAAGAAATAAGGAAGAAACACTAAAATAGTTTTTAAGCAAACACAAGATATTTCTTCTACCTCCATCTGCAAAAGAGGAGTTTGTTTGTCCAAAGGGAAACTATAATGCACATATTTTAAATTATGTATATGTTAACACATTTATATCAACATGCCTATTTGAATATAGTAATACTATAAAGTATTACTATATTTTATACAAGTGTCAATGTATTTAATCTTAACAGCTGCAAAAAATAAATGAAATCCTAGTCCTCTACAAAACAGAAGCCAAATCCAACACTTCTTTGATGCCTCCCCTAGTTAAAAGCTTCTATCACTTCTCACTTGGGGGTCCAAAAGAGTGACCTGACTATAGAGTCCTGGGTATCACTCTTGATATAATCACTACCTATGTGGTAGCTGGCAAGAGCAGCTCAGATAATTTTCCTGCTCAAAACCCTGCGGTGGATGAAATCCATACTGTGTCCTGGCTAGTGTCTGCCCCACAGTGATCTGATCATGTCCCTATGCATGCCCTTCTCTCCCTCCATCCCAGCCCTCTAGCTCTTGCTGTTGTTCTCACCTGCACCCAGGTTCTCCCCACTCAAGTCCATGTGCTTGGGGCTCATCTACTACAATACTCTGACCCCAAACTGTTGCTGCATACGCACCCTCTTCCTCTGGCATCATTTCCTATCATCCAGTCTAACTTGGAAGACCCCTCTGCCTATTTCCCAGTGCTCAGGGCTCCTAGGAGAGCGGGAGATGGGTGAAAGTTGTTCATCTCTTTACCAGCATAGGGAGCCAGTAGCGCTGAGGGAATGTCTTTCAATCTTATTTATTGTACCCTATTTACCTTAAAGTATGTGGTTGTTAAGCCACAAAGGTTCTCTTTTACATTGGTGCTTTTGAGAGTTTTTTTTTTTTAAGTTCTTTGAAAACAAGCACATCTCTTGGATGTTTCCAGCAATTTGAGTCCTTGGCACATGGTCTGCAGCTAGTTTTCCTCAAATACAGAGTAATGATATATCCTGGCAGCATACAAGAGGGCTCTGAGTTAGTAGGACAACACTGTCACTTCAACATTTACGCCTTTATCTTCAAATGGGATGCTGTCCCTCTGTATCTGCAGGGGCTAAGGACAGAATTCCCCTCAGATATCAAAATCTGTGCATGCTCAAGTCCCTTATATAAAATGGCATAGTATTCGCATATAACTCAGGCACATTCTCCCCTATACTTTAAGTCATCTTGATCACTCGTGCTATTATTTCAACATAAATGCTATGTAAACCGTTGTTGTACTATATTGTGTAGGGAATAATGATCAGAAAAGAAGTCTATATATGTTCAGTACAGATGCAACTTTTTAGTGAATGTTTTCAACCTGCAGTAGGTTGGATCTGTGGATGCAGAACCCATACACACGGAAGGCAGACTCTAAGTACAAAACAGTTAAATGAATTATGGTTGATGTGTCAAATGTTATGGCTCAAGGTGATTCCAGGTTAAAACAAGTAAATGGATTTAAAGCTATTTAAAGACAAATCTCATGTCAACAATGATAACAAACAGCCTTAGGTAAATAATAATAAGTAATGGTATAAGTGGTACATAGGTAAGATAAATGTTATAAAGGTGCTGTGCCAGTGACTGAAGTCAGGGGACTCTGTTCTGCTAGAATAGAACAACAACAGTAGGGGATATGTGACACATGGTGTACATGGGGAAGATCAGACACAGTCTCAGTTGAGGCAGGTACTGTACTAAGTCTCGGCAAATTCAATGTGCTTGTGCTTGGGGCTCATCTACTACAATACTCTGACCCCAAACTGCCTGTGGCCTGGGAAATAAACAGGTGGGCAGAGAGCCCAACACTGCATTCCAAGGTGATGGATTAGGCCGCTGTCCTAAAGAAGAGAGCTAATTACACAGGCTCAATCACATCTCCTAGGAGATGAAACCTCCAAATGGCCCAACTAATTAGAATAAAATAATAATAGGAGACACATAAGTTTTTAATAATGTTAACAGACAAGCTTAATAAATCAAAATGACAGAACAATGGGCCAGGAACCGGCAGATACACAAAACTGGAAATTTATCATCCCTACGAAAGCATACCAAGGTTCCAAAATGAAAATCTCTATCAAAGGTGGGGATTTAAGGATCCTTTGACACAAGAAAAGGAATTTAGTTATGAAAGTGGGTGGAGCCAGATGATTGGAAGCTCAGAATTGCCTGGGGCTGAGCAGTTGATTCTATGTTCCAAATGAGAAGCCACCACAGCTGGTGGCCTCGGCTCCTCTGTAGTGGTTTCTTTGTTTCTTACAAAATTACTGAAGACTTAGGAAGGCAATCTCCAACAAATGCACATATGAAAATAAAAACTTTTAAAAGGACATGAATAAGAACGTAGATGGGAAGTAAACATCTTTAAACCCTTAGTATGCATTCTCCTAGACCCTGCTTCATTTCAAGTGTGGTCTTTATGTCTCTGCTTTGACTGTTCTTTATAGGGTTTTAAACATGAAGGATAATCTGACTTTTTAGAAATACCATTTCAAAAGAATGCCTAGAAGTGTTTACCTTTAAAATCTATGTTTAAATGTTAGGAAACTTTCTTTTGTTAAGTCCATATTATTTTTAAGTAGTGTACCAATATTTAGAGAAAACTTGACTGCGTGGTGTTTAAAAATGTGATTTGACAAATATAGACAATGAATACACTGGGCACAGGCAGAGGACAATGAGGTCTTCATGTGGAAGCGACCCTTGGATGCCAAGACTCTGCCCTTGGGTGAAGGCCAACTTGCTATGTGTGTGGCACACCGTGACAGCACCTGGGTGGTCATGTCATGGCACGTCACACACTAGAGAGAGAGAGCAGCACAGATCACATCAGGTGATGGGGGCACTCCCTTGGAATGAAGGAGTCTGATGGCTCTGGTTGTTGATATGCTTTGGCAGATAATAACAGTGTTACTCAAGCCCTGCGTCCTTTTGGAATCAAGACATCTGGACTCTGAAAACATTGCCAATGACGAATGGGCAAGTTGGGGACATTCCAGGAAGATGATCCTTCACCATGCTTTTATTGTCGGCTTCATTTCCTTTGTCAGGGAGCAGTCCCTTCAGAGTCGGGGACTCCAGAAGAGTAAAGCGCCACAGCCATGCTCCATTACAAATTAAACCCCTGCAGGGCTGGCTGACACTCCCGGGATCCTCTAATTGGAGACTGTTATTCTCTGGCTCAGAAATGACTGATGATCTGAGTTTTGATCTCTCTTTAGGCCCCAGTATCACCTTGTCCTTGATCAGAGTTGTCATGATTTGTTTGGGGATGGGAAGGGCCCTTGCTCAACAAAGGCAACTCCAGTTAATGGAACATTTTTTTTATACTTCAGCAAGCATTTTAATTATTCCAGAGATAATTCCTCGTCCGTGGGAGGAACTCCTTGTCAAGACAGGAGTCTGCCTGCTTTTGTCTTAATATCGAATGACTAATTTCTCTTTGAATTAGATGTGAAAATCATTAAGTTCCAGAAGCCTTGGACTGAAGGCCCGGAGAAGCATCGGTGGGTCTTATTTGCATGAAGAACTTCTTATTTTTTTTTTTTAAACAAAGCTCACGGGCTTCTGGAAATGGCAGCTTCTTTCTGGGTCCCACTATTTTCCTCTCAGGTTCCTCCTCCGTCTCTGGCTCTTTTGTGATGACCGGTTGCACTCTCACAAGACGATTCCTCATCAAAGGTTCAGCCTACCTTTCAAAACCCCAGTTTGAGGAAGGGCTCTCATTGAGCTTGATCCTAGGGTCAACCCAGAGTTTCAAGATTTTTTCATTCAAATAGATTGTTAAGCCTGTCACATAAGCCTTTCCAAGGAAGCAGTGGCTAATGAGCTGGTCCAACAAGCCAACTGGTGAGCCAAGGCCACACCAGGCCACTTTACACCTGCAGCCTCCCCCAGCCATTTTCCTCCCACCTACTGAGTCATCCTGGGAAGGTGGCAGCTGAGGGTGAATTACACAGTCCCACCAACCAGGGAAAGCTTTTCAGCTCTCCTCTAGAGCCCCTTGCTATCACCAGCAGGATGGCACAAAATTGGGAATAGCAGTAGGGGAGTTGTCTCTAGGGAAAACAGGATTTCTACTGAAAGCTTTCAGAAGACATTCCTGCAGGGTTGTCACTTCATGTAATGTGGGTCTGTTAGGAGGGAGAATGGCAGATTCCAAGACATCACGAAAGAAAGGTTGGGATGCCAAATAGCATCCTAACTGCTTGCCTATCGGCTCATCAACACACAACCTACTTCTCCCAACAAACCTGTGATTTGAGGACCCTTGAAACAACGCCCCACTTACAGATGCGAAAACTGAAGCAGAGCCCAGTCCCACAGTGAGAGAAGAAGCACAGCAAAACTCAGACTCAAACCCTGGTACCACCGCTCAGTACCTGCTCACAGTGAGGGTGTTGTTCCAGGAGGTGCTGCCCTTGATTTGAAGATTAAACGTGCAGGCTGCTCCTGGCAATCAAAGATGCAGCTTAATTCTTAGAAATAATAATAATGTAAAAAAAATTCCCACTTGGGTTCAGGAAAATGTTTCCTATCTGATCTGAGGCTTAGTCCAAGTAAGAGAACTAGAAAAAACACAAGAGGGAAGGAGAAATAGAAGCAAGTAAGCAAGCAACGGAGACCTGAAGGAACAGCTGTATAGTGTACCGACAAAGCTGGCAGAAAACAAGGTTTGAGAATCCA